AGGTCTTTTTCAACCTTAATGATTCTATAATTCCTATGAATTTAACTAATTTTTGGAAGGATTTTTTTAAACTTTAGCCTTTGTGTACAAACAATTGAATAGAAACATAAAAAAGAAGCTGGCCTTTGACCTTTCTAGCCTGTGAGCTAGTTTTGTTTACCACCTTTTAGTCCTTGTCTGTGGAAAAAGAAAAAAATTTTTTGGTGCAAATCGTCCATTATTCTATATTGCTGTTCTCCCTCTCTGTATATTACTATTATTCTCTCTGCCCCTTTCCCTCCTCTCCTCTCCTCTCCTCTTCACTGTGCATCTGTAGCCTCTTTAATAGGCCATAGCTCTATAATGCTGAGCTTTATTGTTTCTCTTTTGTGCACTTTTTTCTAGTTATGCTGTATGCCATATGAAGTAGGTGTCAAGAAGCTCTTTACAATGTTGAAGATAAATGTCTGCTTCTACTCATTTTCAGTTGCACCAGGAAGTCTTGAGTTAATTTAAAGGATGTTTAGTTACTGGTGTGTGCTGAACTGACCTTCTGTGAAGTCTCCTTCAGTTGTCTGAGTTTCTGTGGCCGTATATGTTGAGTAACTGCTGCACATGGAGAGTTTACATCTGGTAATTGCGGCCAGGAGTGGTGTAATTAGTGTCACTTGTTGAAAAATACTCACCTTAAAACTAAGCTCAGTTTTCATTACTGAACAAAGGTGGGGAAGGTTAGCACTGTCATTGTTTGCATAATAATATAACACTTCTTGTGAATAGAAAGAAGCATCTATTTATTGTGCCACAGCTGTTAAGTTTGTGCAGTAGGTTTTTAGAAGAGGCTATTTGATTGGAAGTAATAGACTCTAAGAGTCAGCCATCAAGCAAGTACTGCACTTTATCTTGGACGTTTTTGGCAAAGAAATGTCACATGCCAACCAAAATCTTAATTTAACAAATGACTGACTTAGGAGAGATACTCGCAAAGTACCAGCTCTGAGTAGAAGGCTGATGAGATAACTCCTCAAATGCCTTGCCAACCTTATATTTATTGCCTTTGAAATAAATATCGGACATACTTCAGTAATTCCTTTCTGGAATTCAGAGCTTTTGTAGACATACCAGAAGTATTGGTCATCTATATAATACAGCTCTTGAAAACAGCTAAGTGCTAAATGGAAACAAATGTGGTCGCGATCCTGGAAGTGTATATTCAATGGCATGCATTAGTTAAGGACTGGTTTGTAGGTTAGTGTACTTCAGATGTGTGCGTCTTGTATCTGTATACATTGTCAGTTTTTATTTGTGAAGAGAATAGAACTGAATAGGTGTTGATTTAAGCTAGTCTTTGGTACTGGTTAAGATAAGTATTATGAAAGGGAGTGCTCTCTTTTTTCTCCTTTTCTCTTGTTTCCAGTATTTTCTCCAAAGTATCCCAAAGTGGCTATTCTCAGAGATGCTCTAGAGGAGTTTTGGAAGATCTTTCTGGATTATACCAAGTGTTTCTGCAGTCATTTCTCTGGAGATAAAACGTTTCGCAGAATGATTTTGTTTTGTCTTACGTACTTACATATTAAAAAATATGCAAGAACTGCGTTGGCTACTCTGTAGCTAAGATGGAATGCTTCTCGTAAGATTTGTTGAGCAGTGGAGTACAAAAGTCAATACATGTATTTCTAGATATTGAGTGAATGCATTGGGTTAAATACTCTGTTCTGCCACATAAGCAGATAGCTATCAATGCAGAAATATAGATGGAAAAGTGTGGTGGATGTGGTGTGGTTCATAGAATAAATGTAGTTTGCAGTTTTGCAGTCCGTATGAGAAGCATATGCATCAAGCCTTAAAAATACATGTTTTCAAAGGATTTAAATGACAAAATAGTACCTATTCCAAATATTTGCTTGAAAACTTTTGTCTTTTGGTTTACTGTATTCATGCTCAAAAATCTGTTCAGTGGTTTGTTCTGATTGCCACATTTGTGTTTCCAGTATACTCCATATTTTACTCAATATTGATTTTCGGGTGGTTATACTTCATCAGTGCCATATTGTTTATGGATGTAAAATCCTGTTAATATTTCACAGGAAATTCAGATAAGCCTGTGTGATGTTGGTAACGCTTCATGTCTTAGAAATGTAGTAAGTTTATTTCAACTATGTATAAACTACACTTCCTATTTCACAGTTCTTTGTCTTACTATTTTCCCAGCTACCAGGTGTCAAAACTAATAGGGGATGGGTCTGTTTGTCTTTTATGTTTTCAGTACAGGAAGGGTAGCTGATTAGTGGTGCTACTTCAGAAGTGCATGAAAGCAGAACGGCTTAGTGAGTGCAGTAAGCCTCTTCTTCTCTTTGCTTTCAGGTAGAGATGGAGTTATCTTGCTGTCTTTCATTCTTTGCAGGGTTATACGTCATTCTGGAATGACTGCATCTCCTCAGGATTGCGTGGCTGTATGTTAATTGAATTGGCATTGCGAGGGCGTCTTCAGCTAGAGGCTTGTGGAATGAGGCGCAAAAGTCTATTAACAAGAAAGGTAAGTGGAGGAAAGTGGTCACACTTTAGTGTCGTGCTCCAGGCAATACAAGAGCTATAAATTACAACTGATCATAAGAAAGAGACCTTTTTTTTTTTTTACGGGGGGTAGGGATTCTGAGTGGTGACCTGAGTTAGATGCACAGAGTTAAAAGTGTTTTAAATGGTGAGGCTGAAGTGCCTTGGAGAATCTTCTGTACTTGTTCTCTGCTCCTGTTTGTTCTCTTGAGGTGTTCTGCTGCTGTTGGGAACCTTGCACAAGCAGTTGGCAGTGGCTCTGGCCAGGGTGCGGTGGCGGCAGTTACTGCTCAGACGCAGTAGCAGCAGTTGTAATCTGCTGAAGTAACTGGCTTTAGCAATGTTGGTGGGGTGTGGGCTGAGGCTGAAAGGAGTGGCTGACAGCCTGCCAGATGTCTCCTGCAAATCACCAGTGTAATTCTGGTGTACAGGGTATTGCAGTTTGTGCTTGCAGTGCCTCCAAAGGAAATGATCTTTGTTCCTTGGGCCCCTGAGAACACAAAACTGTATCTAGTTTAAGCACATGACCAGTGTGTTAAATGTGTTGTGCTCTCTGACTTTTGAGATGGCCAAATTTTTAAGGTCCTTTATGGAATTAGGCCTTGATTTATGACTTTTGGTGATGGATTTTTCCTTAGTACGAAGTCTGCAAAGTCACACCATTTGAGGAATTCTTACTTCATCAGAGTTAAAGGATAAAGTCAGTTTATTGAACACATGGTCAAATGTTGTCTATCTACCACAATAAATTCTCTTTTATGGCACATTTCACTGTCAATATTATCTTTTGCTAATTTTTTTAAAGTAAAGCTTACAAATGCCCTGGAGGCATTCAAGGCCAGGCTGGATGGGGCCCTGGGCAGCTGGCTGTAGTGGTTGGCGACCCTGCCCACAGCAGAGGGGCTGAAACTAGGTGATCTTTAAGGTCCTTTTCAACCCAGGCCATTCTGTGATTCAGTGAAATACCCCAACCTTCTCCCAGCTTCCTCCTCTTCTCAAGAAATGAACCTCTGTCCAGACAAACAGCTCCTACTTCTTTTACCTTCATGTAAGCATATTCAGCATTGATTAGTTTGCGCAGGTTTGTTTTTTTTTTCCTTCAAAGTTTTTGGCTCCTAAAGCTTTCAGGAATGTTCTTTAGCAGTTATTCTGTGTAAAACTTGTCAGCTCTATCTATCTGAAATGTTATCCATGGAGTTTTGTTTTAGGAAAATAGGAAAAAAACCTTGTGCATTTATTAAATGAGCAAAGAATACAAGCAAAATTACAGTCTTTTTTTTTATCTTTAAATTTTATCAGGTGGTTTGAGGGGTGGGTTGGTGTGTTTGTTTCTTCTCCCCCACCCCACCCCTTTTTAAGGAGGTCTAAAACCTACCCAATATCAAAGGTTTTGTTCTTTCTGCTGTTGTAAAGCAATCAAGAGATTTCTTTTTGCAGGCAGGAGGGTTCTATTAAAAAGGCTTTGATTTAAAATTCAAATGAAGACTAGTTTCTGCTGAAGTTGTTTCTTACCAATAAAATCCTTAACTGCTGGTATATGAGGTTTATATGTGAGGTTTCTTCTCCCCCTGCACCACCTGTCTTAGTTTAGTAATCCTTCTCATTAATGACTTGAGTTGTTTTGTAGCTCATTTGAAATTTTGCAGTAACACCAAATTTCAGTCTTGTTTCAGTGTTTGCTAGATTTGAGTGTTTCAACTCTACCAAATGTTCTCCTTGTCCCCCTTTTGCTGGCTTTGCTCCTCCTGTCCTCAGCTTTTGCTGTGGATTAAGTACAGTGCTCAGTGGGTCGGATGAGCTGTCTAGTTGCATCTAAGGTTGTGATTCAGTGGCGGCACTGTTTCCTATAGCTCCTGCCCCTTGCGCTAGCCATTCTTCCTCCTTGCACCAGGTCCATCTTTGGATTTTGTGGGAAGGTAAAACCTCCTTAAATCTGAAAGCTTTGATCTGTGACTTAAAACGCTGCTATCATCTGACAGGGGAGTTTAGGCTTCAGTCACTTCAACCTGTGTTGCAGCTGAGAAGAGTCGTCTGTCTTTGCAAAGAGGCTTATTGGAGTCTTTCTTGGGTTGTTACTAGCATGTGTGCAGTCTTATCAGGTAACTCCTCTGGCTGAAATCTATTTCACTTCTTTGATCAGTTAAGTTTTTACTTGAATCACTTGATCTTGTCATGAGGTGGGGCACAAGTGAGACTGCTGGCACAAGCAAGAAGGTGAGAACAAGAGGAGGGTAAAACTCGTTCTCTGGACAGTAGTACGAGTTTATAACCAGCTAACTGTGCCCTTGGTCATACAGCTGACTTAAAAGATTGATAGCTACAACGATATCCACTTCAAGCCTTAAATCAGGTGGGTCTTTGCTGATAATTTTGGGGGTTTTCTAAGACAGGACATCAGAATGGATCAAGATGTATTAAATCCATGCTTGAATGCAGCATAGAGACAGAAACTGGCAGATCAGGACTTGATGGATGTTGGCAAAACTTTGCAGGTCAATATGATGTAGTTTATATTGCCACCTTCTTGTAAATTTGGCTTAAGAGGATGTCATCGTTGCATCATTTTGAAGTTCTATCTACTGGTATTAATTTAGAAGCAAACGAATGTTGAGGTTTATATATAAAAAAAATAATTTCTAAGACTAGTGGTTATTGAAGGTGGAAGATGGTACTCTGCTGCCTTACAGCTTCAGAAAGCAAACCAAGTCATTAGAGTTGTTAAAAACAAAAGAAATCCCAGCAAATCCCTGGACAATTAGCTTTGGTATTTTATAACTGACAGTTCTGAGTGATTCCTGCATGAGTAAACTTTTGTATTAAAACTAAATTTACTTAAAAATTAAAGCAAGAGGTGCTTAATCTTTAGCATTGCTTAATTGCAAAGCTGCATTATAGAAAATTCAAGTTAAATACTCTGTATAATTGAAATTTCCTCAGCAGCTGGATACAAGGCAAATTTAGTACCTGATAAATCAGTGGCAAAATTGGAATAAAGAAAGTTGGTTTTTGTTTGTTTGCTTGTTTTGCAGTAAGGCTAAGGACCATCATCTCTGAAGAACCAGGATCTTAGCTTCTTTCTCTACCTTAGCTCATGTATTAGAAAAATTCTGCCCTGTGGATGCTTAATTTTCTGTGGTGATTCAATTCGCAAGATCCCCAACCCACTTGATTTTCCACTCTTTTGCTGTTAGGACTGAAGAGAGTTAGCCAGGAAGCATTCATTGATAAATCCTTCCTCAAGAAAGAGCAGATCCATGAAGACAGGACAAAGGTGGCTGGGCTTCTGCTGTTGCCTGATTCCATGTGCTGGGAAGGGGAGGGGAAGAAAAATACCATGGAAGTGTGAAGCAAAATAGTTTTGTTTGAGGGGAAGGATAATTGGAAGAATCTGTGCAGTGGATCCTCAGTGTAGCAGAGAAGGGAGAAGAAACAGTGCTGTGTGCCTGGCTGCAGGGAGTGGTAAACTTGGAAACAAAATCACAGTGCATTGTGGCTTCACAAGAGCTTATGGAGCCCTGAATGAGTTGAATGGGGGAGTCTGTGCACCTTGCAGCTCTTTCCTCTAAATGCCTGTACGTTTAGGCTCATGCTGTCATGGTGCATTGCATTCAGGCTAGCTTCTTAAACTTCTTTGCAGTGGTAGAAAAAAAATCTTAAGCGCAAATAAGCAAGGAAATCTGTTTCCTAAAGTTAAAGAGAACCAACTTACTTATATCCTAGACTCAAGAGCTTTTTTTTTAATCTCTTCAGTGAGGTCTGTTTTGTTGGGTTTGGTTTTTTCTTTTTAATAATAAAAGAGGTCAAAAAGTTGATTTCACATCCTACCTGTTGAAGTGAGATGGTGAGTAGTAGGTTACCAACTGCAGCAGGCTGGAGCGATCCATTGTAACTAAGACTACTGCGAAATGAATCCTGTGGGACACTTCAAAGAAACTGAAATGCTGCTGGAACGTCAGTTTGAAAAAGAAGTAAAGATAAATAAGTTCGGTGGTTTTAGGCTAATTATTAAAGGAATATCTGAAAAGTGACTATTAATAGTCACAATCTAGCAGCTTAAAAACCCAACTTTTGAAGTATGCTCCTGTATAATTAAAGAACAGAAACTTCAAAAAAAATCAGAATCTTTATACAAAACTTGAAGACGTTTAATATCATTATATGTGGTTAGTAGAGGTTTTGAGTGGTGCTGTGACACAAGCTCGTAAATCAGAAAGATAGATGTGCAGTGTGTTTAGTTTCAGATAATGATTGGATTAAAATGCACTTGTGTTTTTAAAACCAAGTGTCCGAGGTTTGTGGTTGGAGTGATCTCCAGCTCACAAAAATGGAGAGCTGGATGGGAGATGCTCAGGAGACCATTTAATTTTGATGCAGTAACAGATGATGAGGTTTCTCTGGTTCCCCCTGGCAGATGTTTAGTCTTAAAAGTCTCCACTGACTGCAGTTCAGCAGCTCCCTGGGTGTTTAATTTGCCTCTTGAAGCTTTTGACAGTAAATCCTGCATCTTCCATATTTCCAGAATAAGCTGGTATCTTTTATTTTTCCCTAAACTCCTGTTTGATACCCTCAAAAAAAAATATCTCACATGCTTTCTTCTTAGATCTAAAGAAACTTTGTTCTTTTTTAGCCATATTGACTTGGGCTAGTTTAATCTATGTTTTCGCTTGGTGCTTTTGTTTTTCTAACCAGAAAAGATGGTATTTGTACATGGTTTATATAACTACTTGTAAACAAGCAGTTACTGGAATTGTTAAGTTTTATTATGTTACTGTGAATTATTTTGTTGTTGTTCTCCTGTGCTCTCTTGAGGAATGAACTCAAATAGTTGTAGAAGCTATTGAATAACAGACTTAAATGATACTGCATTTATTATTGCATAATAAGGGATTTATTAGTACATACATATTTCACGTAATACGTATGTTTTAACTGTTAGTGAATTGAACGTGGTACTGCTGGTCACAGAGTAGTAAGACTTACAGATGTGGTGTTGAACCTATCTTTATCCATCAATACATGGGAAAAAAAAAAAAAACAGCTTTCTTGCTGTTTGTTTGTAACTTATTTCTCAATTTCACGTGGCCTAATTGTTTAACAGCAGGATTTTTAATAAATTGACTTGAAGCAGTAAAATAGACTGGCATCAGAGAGTAATTTAACACTGAAATATATTTTGTTTTGGGGAGGAACTGAAAGACCTGGCTGGGTTAGCAGATTGTCCTTCTTAAAATTAGGTAGTTAGCATGTTATTACTGCTATAGTTTTAGTCAGTTAAGGTTAATTTATGTTACAGAACACCTAAGACTTAACATAGCTTTGTAATTAAAATCCTAGGTAGTTTTGTTGGTTTGTTTGTTTTAACAACTACGTATTTTTTTTTAACTCGCATATTCTTAGAGATGGTTTCTTATTTTTTAAAAAATTTCCTTGGTTTTGATAACAGGTGGATTTTTCAAGTTTTTATTAGCAGATGTGTATGGTATATGAATTAAGTCAAAACACTGACTGTTTTGTTCTGTCCTAGGTGATATGCAAGTCAGATGCTCCTACAGGGGATGTTCTGCTTGATGAAGCTCTGAAACACATAAAAGAGACACAGCCTCCTGAAACAGTGCAAAATTGGATTGAGTTGCTTAGTGGTAAGCCCTGGTCATAATGTATTGGTGTTTTTTTCCCCAATAAAGCTAATTATCTGGCATCAGTAGAGATGATACTGTAAGGTTTTTGGAGAGAAAGTGTGCAAAAAAGTTAATTAGTCTGTCCTCTGGGGCAGTCTCTTGTTGACTGTAGCCTTTAATCAAATATAAGTAAGTTGCTCTTGACTTAACTGATACAGAAAGGATCTAGATGGAAGTGTCAGAGGACATCGCAACTCTGTGGAAAAAGTGCCTTCTGCTGACTCTGAAGTAAATTAGGACTGTACCCTGGAGATATAAGTGCGTTTCTCTGTAATTGGAAATAAGGGTTAGTGGAAATCTGGAGTATAGGTGTATGGATTCAGAAGTATTCAGATCTTTTGATAACAGAATGAGATAAGGAGCTGACCGCTCAGTTAACAGAATTGAGGATGATATGGCCATTAATCATCAGGAAACAATGAACAGTCAGGAGTTCTATTTTTGCACTGAGTGGGGAAATGTAATAAATATTTTCAAATACTAAGATGCTTCTTGTTGTTCCAAACAAAGTCTTCAAGATGAGTGCTTTTCACACAGCTCTTCCTGTGAAGCTAGGAAGTTTTTGCTAAGAAAATGATATGTAATTAGATTTCATCTTTACCACTGCAGTTACTGGTTTTCATATGCTGTGCCAACAGTTGTATCCTCAGGACGCATGAATTAAACCGGAATGAACAATGACCGTCTTTTAACATGTAGTGCTTTTGTTGTGGGTCATTCTTTTGCTGTAGCTAGTCGCCAGGGTCTGTCTGTTTTCACAAAGCACATAAAACTCGGCTTCCTTGGAAGTGGCAGTTGCACAAACAGTGCAGGAAAAAAATACCTCTGTTTTGTCAACATGGTGACTCTGGGAGGTAGGGGGTAATGACACTTGAGGTTGTCTATTTAAATGCCTTTGTTACTTGTAACAACTGAGGAGTAAGAGTTTTGAAAATCAGCAAAATCTTTCCAACTTTCTCTGCCGCCTTGTTTTCATTCTGTTCTTCCCATTCATCCTGCACCACCTTAAACAGCCTTCCTTGCATGGCAGGTCGAGTCCTTGCCATCCCTCCCCTGTTGCTCCTTGACTGACAGGCAGAGTGGGGAGAGGGGAGAACAAAGCAGTCGTGGTCAGTAGGGGGCATGGCTGCTGCCATGCCTTGCAGCTTAGCTCTTGCTCAGCTCTCCTTCACTTTTGCAGCCTGCAAAAACAGTTCATTTTTCTTGTCCCAAATACATCATTTGTGCCGACATTTCACCTTCTCTCCCAGTACAGAGCACATCCTTAGTACTGATTCAAAAAATGGTCAGCTAAGGAATGAACACTCTTGTAGGTTTTCTTTGAGTTACGTTGAGGTTTTCTGACGCTGCTGAGCTTTGTCTCTGTGAAGACAGTTATCATCAGTGCTGTGGCTAAGACTTGCATCAATCATTTTTACTTACATATGGTTATTAATTACTAGTTCTTGGATGACATTAGGGTTGTTTGCATTTTCCATGGTTTAGAGGACTTCCTTTTGAAGAAAAATATTGTAGCGTTTTGTTTAGGAAATTTTTTATTGGAAGCTCTTCGAGAATTTTGCTTTTGGGCCTGGTTGTGGAAAAATAGCTACTCTATCCATAATTACCAGCGATCTGAAGAATGCTGCTTGGTATCACAGTACATAGGAGTTCAAAGCCATTATGGAAATATTAGTATGGACATGTAATGATGTTTGTCAGGCTGTTGTTTGTAAGATAACCTCTAAGGGAAGCAAGTGTAGGGAATGGATTAAAATGTCAGGTCTTTCTGTAGATGTAAGAAATACCAGGCTGTGCTTGGACAAGCAAGTTTCTCTGTAATTGAGGAGATTGGTCACAAGGTGTCACCACAGTACTGGTTTTCCTTCCGTTATAGCCACATCCACCTAACAAATGTAGAAGAATCTAGGAAATATCCTTTCCCTTTGGAATGCTGTAAGGAAACTACTTTTTTTCTCTGTGTGTGTGATAGTTTCATTCATGGTCAGGCTGGGGAGTCACGTTCAGTGAGGTGTGGGACCTACAGGGACTTGTATAGTTTAGGCCTGGGTGGGTTCTCTGCCTTTCACTACCCAGTCGGTGTCACCTCTTTGTTCACTTAACATGAGTGTTACTTGGATACAGTGGATGTCGCCCTCCATCACAGTGGGAGAAAACTTAGTCATCTGTGGTTGCTGTTGTTATTATTAATTAAACAATGAATTTTTAAAAAGCTTTCTGATACAGAAACAAATTGGTACAGTAATTCTCGTCTCATGTATAGAAAACCCCCATCTATAGAAGAAATACTTAATGCCTTTTCTTCTCTCACCTCTTAAAATGCACAGACTCTTTTATATCAGAAGGAGATTTTCATACTTACAGTGTATGTAGTGAATATATATGGTAAATATGGTAGGCTGGACCTGAAGTTTCAAGCTTGTTAAGTAAACTCTTAAGCAAAGATGGATTTCTCACTGCTTAATGATGTTAGCTTTATCAGCAGCTGTTGCTGCTGATTGTATGCTTTTTCACTTCCCTCCTCTGTGCACACACAGCTGCACACTCTGAAGGACCAGATTCTCCTGCCTTAACAAAAAGCGTTAGAAATAATTTTTGTAGAAACGTTAAAGCCCCTGCCAAAAATGTGCTCCTGTGTACACACAGCCCCGCACCTCACGCAGTGCATGGTCACTGTTTCACGTGGTGGGGGCAGAAAGGGGTAGCAGCCCTGAGGAGAAAGACTTGCAGTTTTTGGTTGGCAAGAAGCTGAACATGACTGGGCAATGTGTGCTTGCTGCGCAGAAAGCCAACTGTGTCGTGGGCTGCATCAAAACAACTGTGGCCAGCAGGTCGAGGGTGGTGATTCTCCTCCTCTACTCTGCTCATGTGAGATCCCACCTGGAGTACTGCGTCCGGAGTACTCTGGAGTCCTCAGCACAGGAAGGACGTGGACCTGTTGGAGTGAGTCCAGAGGAGGGCCACAAAGATGGTCAGAGGGCTGGAGCACCTCCTGTACAGGCTGAGAGAGCTGGGGTTGTTCAGCCTGGAGAAGGGGAGGCTCCGGGGAGACTATTGTGCCCTTCCAGTACTTAGAGGGGGCCTACAGGAGAGATGGGGAGGCACTCTTTATCAGGGAGTGTAGAGATAGGACGAGGGGTAATGGTTATAAGCTGGAAGAGGGTAGATTTAGGTTAGATATTAGAAAGAAATGTTTCACTGTGAGGGTGGTGAGGCACTGGAACAGGTTGCCGAGGGAAGGTGTGGATGCCCCATCCCTGGAGGTGTTCAAGGCCAGGCTGGATGATGAGGCTTTGAACAACCTGGTCTAGTGGCAGGGCGGCTGGAACTTTATGATCTTTAAGATCCCTGCCAACCCGACTCATTCTATGATAAGAATGAAAACCTGAAGAAACCGAGAACTGTGCAGGGTAGGTGTGCATTAGCTTCTCTTTGTGGCAGAAAGAAAGGGAATGACACTTATTCCAGAAGAGGCTGGAAGCAGACAAATGCACAAGATTGGAGGAGATGCTTATTTTTATTATTACAATTAGACTCTTCCTTCATGATTGGTTTGGGTTTGTTTTTTTTCCTTCAGTACAACACTGCTTTTTTGTCATATGCTTAATCAAGATATGGCTTAGCTAGCATTTTGTCCAAAATTTCACTGCACACTGAAGCTCCTCCAAGGAGGTTCTTGTGGTCTGTCTATATGCCTGTATCTGAGTAGGTCAGAGATCAGAGAAATGCTGACATTGGCACACTATCTTAGTGTTCAAGTCAGATGTATGAATTTGACAGCTCATTCTGCACCAGAGGGCAGGAAAAAATCACTGCGGTAGTACAGCTTAAAGTTTGCCTGACTGTTGGCTTTCTTGCTTGCTTTTTTAGGTGAAACATGGAACCCATTGAAGTTGCACTACCAGCTACGAAATGTCCGAGAACGCTTAGCTAAAAATCTAGTGGAAAAAGGTGTACTGACAACAGAGAAACAGAACTTCCTTCTTTTTGACATGACTACGCACCCTCTCACCAACAACAATATCAAACAGCGCCTCATCAAGAAGGTTCAAGAAGCAGTTCTTGACAAATGGGTGAATGACCCTCACCGCATGGACAAGCGCTTGCTGGCACTTGTTTATTTAGCCCATGCTTCAGATGTTCTGGAGAACGCTTTTGCCCCCCTTCTGGATGAGCAGTATGATTTAGCCACAAAGAGAGTGCGGCAGCTTCTGGATTTAGACCCTGAGGTTGAATGTATGAAAGCCAACACGAGTGAGGTTCTGTGGGCTGTTGTGGCAGCTTTCACAAAATAACTGCATTCAGACTGAAGTGTTCTTTCTTCTTTCATGTAAACCAGTTGTTTCTCTTCTATTGACTATTCGTGTTTTCTGTAATTTGTACCTTCTCACATGATGAATCGGCTCTTGTTTAATGGGAATTATAAGTGGTGTATTCCCTCCTTCGCTGTGTATCTGTATACAGGATTCTGCTGGTACAAGAGACCTTCCTGTTGAAAAACAACAGAAAAAGGTTTTACTGCCATATTGGCATTCCATTTCCTATTCAGTTTGAGTTATCTGAAATACTTTGTTTAATCTGTTTTTTCATCTTACTGTTACTGAAGTGGTTTAACATGGAAAGCACCTCAAGAAAGAAATGTGCATGCAGTTGGATCACTAGTCTCAGCTGACACAGATGTGTGCATGCATCACTACTTCTGCAGGACAATTCATAACAGATTAAAAAGGGCCTTTTTAAATCACCAAAGCTCCTTGTTGAAGTGTCTGTCGGGACATTTTGTACACAGATGTTGTTTCGTTATATCTAACAAAATTACTTCAAAAGCAGAGATGCCATTAAGCAGCTTTGTCAATAGCTCCTGTAAAATGCCCTATAAATTTTACTTTTCATGCAAGTCTCTTGAGTACTTGTATTTTCCTTAGAATGATAGCTGAGTCAAAAGGCTAGTATAGAAAGGTCCAGTTGTTTCATAAACCAGTTTTGGGATGGGATACATTCCATTATATTGTATATAGAGTTCCAATTGTATATTAACAACTGCCCCATCTTAGTATTTTGCAAGATCTACTTAGTTTTACACCTGGTGCCCCTTGTTTGCTGTCAGCCGTTGCCATTTGATGGAAAGAAGGCCCTCCTCTAAAGATCATGTATGTGAAAGCTCTTTGTTTCCAGTGTCTGCAGACTTTGCCATCCAGGTATTCTCAGTCTATGCATTGCCTTTGATAGTTAGTGTATGGAAAGCGACTGCTTTCTGTCATCCTTTGTACTCCCCACCTTGTCTTCTGTATGGAAGAGGCTTGTGACCAGTACAATCCTTGAGTGCAGTTTTTAATTTTGTACACAATTTAATGTTTGTCTCTTAAACCTTATAATCTGTTTTACACTTTAAAAACAAAAAGTCAATCCTAGCAGGTGTTGCATGTAAATGGTTAGCAAGTAATACTGCAGTTCAGATGATTAAGATTTCTGTAAGAGGACACTCTGCTGTATTTTAGTTTTTTATATACAATTATGCTGATTAGCACACTTGTAAAAAAATATAAAACTTTGGCTTTTAAAATTTTACTGCCTCTTTGCCACTGCTTGTTATCTCACATTGGTTTCATTCACAGTGTAAATATTATGCATTGAAAAAAATGAAACATATATTTTTTTTCCCTTTCCTCATAACAGTGCAGATTTATTGTGGGGCTTACAGGTGTTTAGACACTTTTTTGGTTAATATTCAGAGCAAGAATACTAGATGGTGTATAACTGTAGAGTTGAAATTTAAGGGATCCCTTAATCTGTATACTAGCTTTTTACCTACAGTAAATAAACTATGATCTTGAAAGTGCCTGAAACAGAGCAAGCATGTAATTTTTAGTTTTTGTTGCTAATTAGAAAGGTTTTATTGCTTAACTGAAAGCTTTAGTTAATATCCTTCTTATTAGAAAAGGAGAGCTTATATTAAGTAGATCAAACTGAACTAATCAGCAGTGTGTGTTCATGGCTGAGACCGAGTTAGCTTGTGAGTGTGCAGCTGTGGCTGGCCTACCATAGGTAGACCTCCTCTCTTGAGCACAACTCCACAGCCTCATCTGTGACTGGAATTCCAATTTTGCACTTAGTTTTCAATCATTTAGATGCTGAAGTAGTCGACTTTAAAATACAACTTGAATTTGTCATACCTATACAACCTTTTTTTAATAAAGGTTTTGCAAATACGGTCCTTAACATTTAATGGCAAACTGCTCTTTCAGTTCTTAAATGCTGTTTCTTTAGAAAAATGAAAATTATATTGTAAGATATTTCAAACTCTAGTTTACAAATAAAAAGACAAACAGTGTTCTCTCAATTGTAAGATGCTGTGTTTAAAACTTTGGGGAGCTTGGGCATGAACTTTGGACGTTTTCTTTTAAACATCTCAAAACATCATTGCTTTAGGTGGAGGAAAACTGAAAATTGCCATGTTCTTATATTTGACAGCTTACAGAATGCTTTCTGTACTTGATAGTGCGTGTTATCTCACTGCTTTCATTGTTTCTCTCTCCTGTGATCTGTTTTCTGTTGCTTGTTGAGAGGGGAGAGAAGTAATTAGGTGGAAAGGTCAGAAAAATAGTGGAGTATTCAGGAGCAAGTTAAGTCACAAAACTTTCAAAATGGCTTTGAAAATCTAAGCTACTTGAAAAATGTTTCAGACTGAAAGTATCTTTCATAGTCCATGTTCTGTCTTATCTTCATTCCATGTATTTTCCATGGTCCTACTGGTTTCATGTTGGGTTGTGGAGGATATTGGGGTGTTGTCACCCTTACAACCCACATTGTTTAAAAGAAGTCACCCTTTAATCCCTTCCAGAAAGAGGTGGGGGGTTTTTTTATTCTTTATTTTTAATTTTTTTTTTTAACATAGAAGATAACTGCCTACAGCATTTATCAGCTTTATTTTTCTTAAAGATAGAACCTCTGTCTGTGATGGGGAGCATTTGTACTGGGTGTATCGAAGAACTTTGATGTAAGTAATGAAGGTTTTGTGAAGAGCGACTGTCTTTTGCTAGACCACTTGCTACAAGCCTGGATGTGCAGGGGCAATAGATGAGCTTTTGGAGTCTGGAGTCTTATATTGTGCTTTAAAAACCCCAAAGCCTCATGAGTGCTACCAGACCTTGTATCTAACAAGGAAGGTAAGTTTGGTAGGTTAACAGAGACTGATTTAGCAAACATCCTTGCCTTCACTGCTATTGCAGGTTCCAATAAAATGGTTAAACATGGGAGACGGCTTTGTTCTGCTGAGATTGAGGCACCCTTCTTCCTGTTAGCTGCTACTGCAGCTCACAGACGTCTGGAGACCTGGTTTCAGACAGTTTTCTCTGCTCCGAGTTCTTAGCTCTCAATGGCTCCTTAAAGTAAAGACTACTATGCGTAGCCTGAACTTGAACATGTGCCTCAAGGAAGAATACATTATTTTAAAACAAACTTCCAAGTTAATGTCAAACCCAGGATTTTGAAAGTTAAATCCCCAAGCCGTATAGAGATACAGTTTTGCAATCCTTGAGATTTACATCCTCCTCCCCTGTGTTTCTAGAGGTGATGTTACAGCGCACACACGCTGTGTGGGATGCTAGTGAAACCTGTGTGCCATACACGATGTTTTTGAGGCAAAAGTTGCAGAAATTGGCTATACAAGGCTGGTGGCTGAGTGCTGGTGTTCATGCCCATTTCTCCTACAAAGTGAAAATATGTGTTAACTAATGTGTTATCTGTGAACTGGACTGAATCTGTACTGAAACAAAATAAAGCACCGTTTAAAGCTATGAGCTGCAAATGGTCACTGCGTATCACATGCATGCGATACCTAAAGGAATTTTTTTTTTTCATTTCCACTTTTTTCTTGAGGCTCTGGTCTTCGCCAGTTTAGGAAGCAGAACTTTTAAGATTTGCATCAAAGGCTCAGTTCTCCCTTAACTGGTCTTCAGGCACTTAAGGCAGTCAAAGCCTCTTATGTCCTAGTTTCCCATTACCCATCAATCTATATGGAGGGGGGTTTCCAGCTTCAGAGAAGTACAAATTTGTTGAAAAACTCATTTATTCCGTGTTAGTGCTTAATATAGACAACAGTTTAATTACTCAGGAAATGAGATCCTGTCAAGTGCTTTGCAAGTGTCAAATACAAAGTGTGATTTTGGGTGTGTGTAAGAGGTGGGCTCCTTGGCTAGGAGGGGAGGGTCTTTGGGTGGGGAAGAAGCATGGTCAGAGATGCTCCCCATCTTAATCTCTGATTAAGATCTGGAGTTTCCTCGCATTGGGTCTTGTTTTCTCTTGCCTTCAAACCAGCAGCACAAAGCCAGTGAAAAGCTGATGGTAGGAAATGCTTTCTGGCTCAGGAGGAGAAAGAGCTGCTGCAGAAACAGTGAGAAGAAAAGCTGGTTCCTAATACAGCAGAAAATAATGGGGAAAGAAATACTGATGAGTAGTAGCCTTTGCCTTGCCACTCCACTTCCTCCTCACCCCCTGCTGTGTGTACTGCCAAACAATTTGTTGTTTTGGCTTTTTTTTGTCTGACCTTGGCCTCTGATCTTCTCTGTTCACCTCTCTTTTCCCAGTTGCTTGGTGACTTCCTCTTTCATGCTTGTGAATGAGTTGTACTGCTTTCCAACCTTTGGTGTTTCCACTCTTGCCTTTTCTTTTTTTTTTTTTTTTCTCCATTACTCTGTCCTCAGAGTCACTTTCCCCCCTGCTCAGGAACCTCCCAGTCTTCAGCAAATACATTTGTCAGTAGGAGCTCCCTCTGTGTCTGAACCAAAGCAGCTGGCTGCCTGCTACAGCTTATAACATGGTTTGTTAAGGTGAGCAAAACCTGATGCTGATTTCCTTTGAAACTGCTCTTTGCCTGCTTCAGAAGCACCCTGTTGTCTCTGCAGCAGGAAGGGCTTGCAGCTGAGCATCATGATTTTGCCAGTTCTCTAGTACAAGTTGTTCCTGAGCCAGTGCTCTAAGGCTTGCCATCTTTTACTCAAGCTTTTCCTCCAGTGAGAGTGTTATATACAAGAGTAATTTTCCTTTTTGGGCTCTGCTTGTTAAAAGAGACTTGAGTTTGTGTTGCAGCTCAGGAAAGCGTCTTCTCTGTTCTTCTTTATTTGTCTATTCATTTCTATGGAACTTGTAGACACAAATTATTTGGGAGCTTTCTTTACTTCTATTTAATTTGATTGAAAGGGAGAAGTGGGACAAAAAAGAGACACATATACTTACAATGTGATCACAGAAACTCTTTTCCTGTCAAAACAGACTAAAGTATTTTGGGTTTTTAATTGTTGGCTTCTTGACTCCTAATACATCATTCACTGCCTTCCCATCTAGTGCATCTGATGTCTGCTCAGAAAGGATTTGCCATCATCTCATGCACTAGTACTGCAGGATTTGTTGGGCGTTGCCCCTTCCTTTTGTACGTTTATTCAAATCTTGGGTTTTTTTCTTCCTTTGCCTTGAGATTGACCTTGAAGGTAGGTGTTGGGAGAAGACTTTCATGGTGAAGTGAAATGGCTGGCGGTTCATAAGCTTCTTTGCCTCTGCCAGGGCATCTTTACAGGTCCTTCTTTGTTTCCCGTCTGTTCAAATGAAACCAAATCATGTCTCAACCAACTTTCACAATCTTGCTCTGACTCCTTAAGCTCCTGAGGACTTCAGTCACTCCTGAAAGTAAGATTTAGCCAGATCATGCGTGAGTTTTGCAATGCTAAACAGAATGCCTACACACCATTCAAAGCCTCAGACCTTGTATTCAGAGGATTTGCAGAAGAAATTTAGCAAAACGAGATGGTTTTTCCAAACAGCAATCGCACAGTAACCCACCTCAGCTGTGACAGTAAGCCGAGCACTTGACAGGGAAGTTGCACTGGTGCTGGAACACGAATTGGTCCAAGGGAGCTTCTCCTGGAACGGCCAGAGATGCCTGAGGCTGTTAATCTTGCACACTGCTCTTAATGACGGTTAGGAAAGGTCTTGGGTGGACACATTCTTCACTACTCTTTTTCCCTGAGACTGGAGAGCTGTGTGTTGAGGGGTCTGGATTGTGCCCCCCAGCTGAGATCCCGCAGATGCGTCTGGGGCTGCGCTTGTGCCTGTGTGGGAGGAACAGACGGCTGTTCACAAAGGTTTCGGTCATCCAAGGAAACGCCACGTCATGCGGGTGAGTGGTTGTACTTGAAACAAGGGAATGTGGGTGACCTTCCTTAAACTGGAATATATACAAATAAAACAGGCCTGAAA